GCCGCTCTGTCTGTTGGTGTTGCTCGGCTGGTTCCTCCATCCATTGCCATTGTTCCTGTTGGTGTTGTTGTATCTGTTGTCAGGTCGTCTGTCAGTCCATCCCTTCCTCTCATCATCATGCTGACTACGCTGGTCTTGACGGTCATGTTGTCTTCCGGATGGACGGCCCCTCTGCTGATGTTGACGGTCTCGTTGCTCTCTTCGCAGCTGTTTCATGCGGTCATTCGCGTTACGAAGAGCTTCTTCAAATTGCGGCCACGTCAGTGCTTCTCCACGATACGCGCGGGATGCTGACTCATGCGCCATGGTTGCCTTGAACATGTCGAATCTCTCAGGCAATGCCGATAGCATGACGGCGATCATCGTCTCGTCTGGCACTGTTGATCCGACTTCATGAAGGCGGCTGACGAGATAGCTGAAGTCGCCAAGGGCGTCGTCAAGATCGTCCTTGATCATCTTCCAGCTGAAGAATCGCCGCAAGAGCTCGTGCTTGCATACGATACGATCAGGTATGAACCGCTTCCGCAGTTCTAGATACGCCCATGCACCATTCTCGCCGTGCTTCTGGTATGCTTCTTGAATCAGTCGCTTGGCCTTGTCTGCTGTCTGCAGGGCGAGGAAGCCGAACAGCCATCGGAGGTTCTTGGCGTTGGAGCTCTCCTGCTCAATCAGGATTGGCTGTCCCTGCTGGTTCACCACGGGCTGATTATTGCCATCCATCTGTGGCACCGCTATCTTCATCGGCGGGACGTCCTCATCCTTAGTAGGTAGATAGACTTTCACATCCATCTCTCTTGCTGCGCCCATGTGCGAAAAGGCCGGTGAGGACCTTTCCTGTAGTTAGCTGAATAGAGGATCTGCTGGGCGGTAAGTCCCAGAGTAAAGAGTGCTTTTACTTCAGCAAGACCGATGGACTAGCCAGTTAATCAAAGGTGTTTCTGTCCATGTATGGCATCATGAAGGGTGGTCAACACAGATCTCACTTCGGTGATGGCTGATAAGATCGTGTCTCCTCAGAATGCTTTCCTTGTCTTTCCTTGTCTTCTCCTCTCTCTCTCCGTTACACAGCAATATACCCTAGCTCACAAGCTCGCAGTGGTTTGTCTTGCCAAGCTGGCAATCCTGACATAATCAGGCTGTGCGTAGATGAATTAAGTGTCATTCATAAGTCTTGGCCTTCACAACAACTGCGATGACTTGAGTTTCTTAATGGGCGCCTGGCTGGCTCCCACCATCCTTAAAACAGCTGAGAGATCTGCCGGCCGCACACATAAATCAGTGTACACACGTGATCTCTGTTGTACGCAGACAGGCGCGTGACTGTTCCCAAGTGAACGAGACAGACAGACAGACAGACAGGCGTCAAATAGTGAGGAAAACCGGCGGCTCACATCAGAACAGCAACACGTGCCTCTGTCTGCAGGATGCAGCTGTCCACTTGGCGGAATCGATAAATGGTCTGTGCGTCATTATGCAGATATGCCACGGAAAACACTGGCTGACAGGCCAGCTCTCAGACGCTACACGCACTCACGTGTGCACTTCGCTTTTTTCTACGAGAATAAGTCAAGCCAGGACTTCGGAGCCGAGGGCTCTCCTGAGTGACACGGAAGATAAAGGAAGATAAAGGCATTCATCCTCAAACACGCTTCATGTATGCCGTGTGTGCATTCTTACGGATTCTCTCTCGACGTGCTTTCTGATCGCGCGCCACTCGTCGGTTTCCGCCACAGCTGAACCGCGCGGCCATACGACGCCAGCGACCTTCAGCCCTTCTTGTATATGATCTTGAGCTCCTCCAGGGCGTGCCATTCCGCCTTTCGAAGCTCCCTGAGCTGGTCACTGTTCTTGGGAATCTTTCCCTCTGCCAGAGCCCTCTCCTTCACCTGTAGACACACACGGGGGTGAGGATTGTAAGCCGAGTGTGTCGTCGCTGTTGTGTCCAACCTCCTTGACAGAATCTGGGTCTTTCTCCCAGGGGTGGGCTTCATCGAAGAGCATGTACATCTGATCTCAATCAACACGCACAAGGCCTCACAGATCTCTCAGTGGCTGTCGACTGCTTTCTGTCGCTCTTTGTCTCCTCGGAGGAAGCCATCGTCTGACTTCCCCTTCCTTCTACAAGCTTGGTGGGAATCAGGAAGGTGGCTGGAGCCACTCGCCGTCAGACGCGTACGACAGCAGGAAGGTCGGGCGGGATCTGTGCGAAGGACACCAGACGCGCAGCGGCTCACTGACGTGGATGGGATTGACGGACGACCTTCCAGCGTGCTGTACGTGTATGGGATTGACGGACGATTCCTCTGTTGGTTTGGTGCCTGCTTGTCTCTGTATAGGGACATGTTTTTGTTTGGCCCCTAGCAGCGCTGCCTGCTTGTTCTGTCTGCCTGTCTGCACTCAAATCTGCTGATGTCGGCCGGCTGTGTCATTCATGCATGTGTATGTCCCAGGAGGTCACATGCTGGATGCGCATGTGTCGGCATGCTGGCAGTGCGATGTGTGGCCTTACGATTGATTGCTCGACGAGTTCAATGGATGAAAGACCGTCTGGAATGTGGGATTAAGACGAAGAATGGATGCACGTCCCGAATGCACAAAAACGTCCGGACGATTGGCAAGAAACCAGCAGCGGACAGACAGAAACTACACGCCAGACCGACGCATCCTTTCCTCAGTACAACTTGTCCACGTCGATGGGACCCCACGGGAATGCGTGTCGACGAACTGTTACGAGGGGGGAGGGGCCCCCGAGTAATGGGAGGCGATCGGCCAGACGGAGAGCATAGGAAATTTCCAGGCAACAAATATACACAGTTTGTCGAGAGTGATTTTTGATCGCCTTGAGGTTGAGTGAGGTTGAGTACGTATCTCTGAAGGGCTGGAAAAGAGGAGACGGCAGAAGTTTCAGCAGGATTCACGTGTGGTGCACAGAAACTCGCTTTGTTCCAAGTTTATTGTTCTGTTTGCTGAGTGCATGCGGTGAGTGTTGGGGGATAGGAAGGCTGCAATGACAAAGGCTTCGACGAGAGGAGCGATGCAATCCCCCCCCCCTTTGAATGGGGGGGGGGCCTCAAAGGGCAGACGTGTAGGTATTCGAGGCAGACGATGATGCATAAGAAGATGAGTGCATTTGCGTAGGACGGCAGGCACTGAAGTCAGATGGAGCTTGCAGAGGGAGACTGCGCGCTGTCATGATGGGGCCCGGGGGCTGCCATGGGGGCGTCTTGTTTTTGAAGTGAAAATCAAGGGGGGGGGAGGAAGACACAATGCCGATTCGCATGCCGCCGTTCACTCGCCGCGAGCTCCGCCAAAGCTCGCCGCCATCCTCTTCGATCAGCATGAAGGGAGGGCATGTGCGACTCAGCGAGAAGCCAGCCAGGGACACGAATGCATCTTGAGAGGGAATGATCCACTGCTGCGACTCCTTCCTGTCATCTCCGGTCGTGCCGAAGAGCCAAAATGACTTGTCGGCAAAGTCGGTCTCCGCGTCCTTGGTAGGCGTGTTCTTCGGGTTCGTCTTGCACTGGTAGCCGTAGATCTTCACGACCGTGCCGTCTTCGACAATGAAGATGAAGAAATCGTACTTGGGGAAGCTGGCGCGAACGGGCTTCACGAAGAAAGCCGCACGGTCATTCTTGAGAGCTCTGGTTGGGTTGGCCAACCACAGCAGAAACTTCTCGCGAAGGCGCTCGTAGTCGGCGGAGAAGCCGTCCTCCTTGATGATGTCCTCCTTAGTGGGCCGGAAAACGCCGCCAAATCGGCATCCCTACCAAACAGCAAAGTACATATGTTTACATACCCACACACAGAAGTGTCGCACTTATTATCCATCCTCCTTTCATCCATACCTGGAGCACGGCCTCTGGTAGAAGCTCCTTCGCGTCAGGAGTGAGCTGGCCTTGTCTGATCGCGATGCTGCGATCCCACAGGAGATGACTCTCGAGCAGCCGCTGCATGAAAGCTGCAGCGCAGACCCCCTCCCACTCCTTCCCCGAGTCCTGTTCGGCCTCAATCAGCTGCCGCAAGCAGTCGACGAAGAAGAGCATCCCCTCGGCGACATCTTGATCCAGGTCACGTGTCGAACGCTCAAGCGCCTCGTAGGCTTCAACCAGGTAGCAGGGTGACCAGACGTATACTGACTCACCCTCGTCCTTTGAGATGAAGCCGTCGAGACACTGCGCCCAATCCCCTAGCTCACGCACCATAGTCATCATTCCCGTTCCCGTGATGGCTGTCGAGATGACGGCGCTCAGAGATTTCTTGTCGCGGGGTGGGCCACTGAGGGCGCTGAAGCGCCCTTCGACAGCTCTGCGGACATTTCTTCTCTTGGTGTTGTAGACCGTGTGGACCAGGGCAGGCGCCAGGCCCAGGAAACAGAGCGCCCCCTTGTGTGCCTCCGAGGTGAGCTTCTGCGCCTCTTCTGTGCTGGTGATCACGGGAAGACGAGGCCGAATGACGTCGCGATCACTCGGAGACGTAATGAATGTCGACAGTTTGCCGCCCGTCGTCGTGGTGTGACTGGTAAAGATGAGATATCTGTTGGCCTTGTCGATGAACTTGTCTTTGAGAAAGGTGGCCAGCTTGGTCTCGTCGGTACCTCCTTGAATACTGTCGGTAATGAGCTCTGACACACACACACACACACACACACGCACAACACAACACAACACAAACAAAACACACGCCATACCGGCATTCGCGCATTCATGGTGTCACCCACCCACTTACTGTTCATCTCATCGATGAGGAGCACAC